CTATAAGAAAAGTCCATGTAAACTGTCGTCTTAATTTGAAATCCAAAGAAAGTGTTTTTTGACCATAACATGAATAGTAGAAGAATTAGCAGCGAAAAGTGTTTGTTGGGACGAATTCCGTTTTTGAGAATTATTTGCTGGAAGTAAGGACACGTCAGAGCCGTATCGACCAAGAATGAAAGGTTTGTTCTACGGTCACGAACGAACAGGCGACGTGAAACTTGAGGCAAAGAATAAGTCGCCTCTATCTTTGCTGGTTTTCGTTTCCCTGCCATGAACAAGGTTTTGTACATTTGTCATCTCTACACTTTTTCCCAAACGTCTATGATACCAGCAAACAGAATAATCTCTCCTTTTTGGAATTGCTTCTTTCCTTATTGCGATCTCCGCGATTTGGCGAGGGACCACGAGAAAGAGAATGCGATCATACGTTTGTTTAATTTTTTATTTGTTTAAATAATTTATCCTCAAGAGACTGATCGACTGTGCGAGAAACGGCACAAGTCCCTGGGGTTGGATTTACTTCTAAAATCTGTCGCAATTTCTGCAGCTTTATCTCAGTTAAATTGGAACCGCTGCAAAATAGACTGAACAGTCGAAGGCAAACGTGAAGGAATAATTCTAACATAAGTTATCAGGAACTTTAAAGATTCTGCTCGACGTTTCATATTTATAAGCAAATCGGAAGGTTTTCGAGAACCTAATTCCTCTCCAAGAATAATTGGCGAATTTCTTGCTGAGAAATTCTCCCGAACGATTTTTAACTCAGTTTTAAGCTTTGCATATGGATCAAGGTTGGTTTCATAATTAATCCCGTACTAGTGATGCATATCTGGAGGAAGATGAGAAACTACATATTATATTTAGTAATGGATTCTGTGATAGGTTTGGGGTGGCAAGAGCAAAGGTACTTTCACACATAATAAACCATAAAGATGGGTCTGATCGGTTATAAACCGGAATTTGGACGGCATGAACATCAGACATTGTGCAAGGTTTTTAAGCCAAATAAAAGGAAAAATTTACTAAAGAAAATGAAATTAAATGATAAGTAGAAAACAGAATTATAAAATGATCTATAATTACACTCATCTGGGATCCGGAGGATGAAAAACCGATAATCCATTACTTCTGTTTGGAGATCTGATGATGCTTGTAGTCAAAACCGAAAGTGCTTGAGAACTGTTCATACGATTTTAACACGTCCAGGTTACCATTATGGAAATTTCCGGTTATGTTTTTACCAACAATCCTCGCATTCCATATCACAGATTATGTTCTTACTGCATTAATATGAATATTCACTAGATATAGTGCACAATAAAAATTAAGCCTTATTTCGGAACTTCGTGCATACTCCCCGACAGCTGGCCTGTTTTCGCTCTGCTCGCTACTCGTAAGAAATTTCTCCTGTAGGGTTGCCACATTTATCGGAGGGCGCAAGGCGCGCTCCTTATCGCCATCACCACATCCAAATCTATGGATTATGAGTAGTTCCAATGGTTTTCCTGGTTCAGAGGTGACACTTGGTCCCCCAGATGAATTCAACATGGTCGAAAGTGTATCCAGAGGGTTTATAGTATAACTGCCATCTGGTCGCATAACCGATGAGAGTTGAGATTCCTGAGACCTCTTAAGAATCTTATATACTCTGGCAGTCTCATGATAGGACTGAATATCTGTGCTGAAGGATCTCCATGAGTTGGATTTGGTTTTCCTGATTTCACTTTTAAATTTCCTTTATAGGATTTTAAAGTTAGACCAGTTAACTTCAGAGTTATTTCTGACTGCTTTCCTATGAGCTCTCTAAACCTCTAGGTGGAGGCTTTCAAGCTCATTGGTCCACCAGACTCTTGCTAGAAGAGTACTTTCTTTGTTTGAGAAGGCATGATGCATGATAGGATTCAATAATGATATTTGTTTTCTTGAGTATCAAGCTCCTCGACTGACATTATTGTCTAAAACCTAAGGGATGATATTGAAACCAGGGAGTCTTTATAAGGTCCCAATTTGTGTTTTTAATGTTCTGAAATATTCACTGGAATTCTTCTAAACAAAATTGTAATAAGGCTGGTCTTAAAGTGAGGGATGTCACTTAATGCCAATTCTCATAAGGTTATAATATCAGAAGAATAATGTGAGGTCAAGACTCTTTCTTCTTCTGTTAACAAAGGTGGGACGATTTCCCTGTTTTTCCCAAGTTGGTGGTATTCATTTAAGTTCCATGGTTTTCTCCTCTAGGATTATACAGAACTGCCCCATGATAGGTGGGGTGAGTTTAACATCACACAATAACCATAGATATTGTTTATTTCACAGAAACCGCAAGATCTATAAATTCTTGCGGAATGTTAATCATAAGCCATGTAACCGAGCAAAACAAAGTTTCCTCTGTGAACTGTTAAAACTGAAAATCCTTAGCAGTTAATCTCTGATGAAGGGGATAATTTCATAGCTTTATATTTTTAGAAATGTAAATGCTAGTTCTGGTCTTTTATTAGATCCCTCTGACGAAAAGAAGTGTGCGTTCATGGCCTACCAAGGATTTTACCCTTTAACAACCCAAGGTTCTGATTCGGCAACAAAAGTGCCTTGCTTACCTAATTGAGCAGCTAAATTGTATGAAGCTGCTTGCTATTTGCAGGTTTAACTGACTAACCTTAACCATTAAACAGGTTAAATGAAAGAAAAGAATAATTTTAGAAATCCTGAAGGATTTTAGGAGAGACTTATTTAAAAGCCGGCATCCTTAGCCCACTACTTCAAAGGAAGTAGTGACAGGGAAAAACTATCAGATGTCTTCCAGAGCCTCCAAAGAAGAAAGCTTTGGTGCCGCTCCCTTTTGTCTCCCCTTCTTCCATCAACTGTTTCTCGGAGGATCTGGGCAAGAATTGATTTCTCCTGTTGCCTTGTTCCTTCAGCAGTACACAGCCACGGGCACCACAAAGAAGTTTGAAATTCTGGCCTCCAGATAATCCATAAGCTCAGGTTCCACTCCCAGCCACCAGGGATTACCTCCATCTTCAGATAACTGCCTTGATGGTGATCTTCTTAACATCCAGGCCCTTGTTACGGCATAAGGAGCTTGAGTATCTTTTGACGCTACAGGAAACCAAGCGAAAACCTTCATGGGGGTCTTCCCCGGGAGCCATGTCATGATAACCGGGGGTTTTTCAGGCCAGGTAGATCATTAATTAAAGTCTTTAGGACTCCACAGTCTCTGGTCCTCACATGCATGTTGGGCCATTCGGCTGCAGACGGTCTTGTGGACCCTGCAGGTGGTATAGAGCCATCGATAATTCGGTCATCAATTATAGAGGTGATGAAATCTGAAATCCACCGCTGTTAGGTCTCTGGAGTCATCCTTGCAGATAACAGCATAATGCCCTTTCTGCAGCTTGACTATAAAGCCGTCGTTCTTGAGGGCCATTTGGGTGTCACCAGCATGCGTTCTCTCTTTACGAGACTCTTCATTGCTTGGATGGCTCTTCCTCACCGTTTTGGAGGTCCTCCAGAGGTCCCAGCTTTATCTGTTTTCTCCTTCGCTCCCTTCTCCCCAGATCGAGATCCCTTCCATGCCCCTCTCCAGCGTTTCCGCTCTTTCTGGCGTTGTTTTTTTCTCTTCTTTTATTTACAACCTCCATCATTGGTGACTGGTATCGCTTGCATCTGGCACGGTACTTCTGACAGAGGAGTCCGTATCCATCCCCCTGGGTTCAAGGCGTCCGTGTCCGAAGGCACATTCACCCTTTCACCACGGTTTTAGTTTCTGTAGTCCTGAAGAGAGAGCGTCCGCACCGAGGGCGTCTTCAAACCCTCAGAAGGAGCACAGTGGTTAAAGTGGAGGTTTCAGAAGATGCGTTTTTATCTAATTTTATATTGCAAGCATCCATTTTGGTATCTGTTTGAAAAAAGGGAGAGAAAAATTCCTTCCGATTTTCTAAGAGCCAGTTTGGAGGGGCTAGCCCCAGATTCAGCAGCCAGCAGGGACCTCGGAAGAGCCCCCCGCTCTGTCAGGCAGGACCCCACCCAGGCACCACCTGGAACTACAAGGCAGGCGAGATTATACACCAGCTGATAGAGAAGCCAGGACATGCTACGGCCATGGCTTCCTTATTTTTCTTTCCAGCACTATCTGAGGCAACAATCTTCTTTGGAGGCATCTTGAAATAATTATTTTCACATTAAATGTAATAAACAATGAACTTGCCAGCGTGCAAACACGTAGATCAAAGAACACTGAGTGATCTGGCGAGGGGATTCCCCAAAATGAGCTGATCAATGTTACTAGCTGTTTTGATAAATTTATATTGTTTTATCCTTTTCTATATTTAGGCTGCCCCGGGCTCCTGTACTATCTGACAGCCTGAGACGCAAAACTCAGCTTTTCTCCTGTATCCTCTACATGGCTGCTTCCTCCAAGACCCCTCCTCTCCAGATCAAAGGTCCTCGGAATTTCAAATCCTCCCCACAATTGCCAGTTTTCCCAAGGAAGAGCGGTCTGTTGGGTCGTCATAAGATTACTCATCATCAGACCGAACCTCATCCCACTAAACCCCGGTATGCCACAGGACTTTGTGACAGTTACCCATTTAGCACCACCTAGGGGGCATGTGTGACTTAAGGATAATCACGGACGCGGGTAACATTACCTCCCTTTCAACAGCCATGGTTTCCTTATTTTTCTTTGCAGCACTATCTGAGGCAACAATCTTCTTCGGAGGCATCTTGAAATAATTATTTTCACATTAAATGTAATAAACAATGAATTCGCCAGCGCGCAAGCACGTAGATCAAAGACCACTGAGTGATCTGGCAAGGGGATTCCCCAAAACGAGCTGATCAATGTTACTAGCTGTTTTGATAAATTTATATTGTTTTATCCTTTTCTATATTCTCATTAATTTTGCAGCATTTTGTACTACATTGATACTATTTAGTTAAATATTTTTCAAATTTCTTTATATATATATATATATAATTTAAATTTTTAGGTGAATGCTGTTAATTCAAATACAAGTTGGAAAATTTCCTTGTTTATGGAATACAAAGAAAATATTGATGATGTTTTAAAAGGAGTAAGTAACCTTTCTTTTTTATGCACAAGTATGTATTAGTTAATGTCTCTGTCTCTGTATACTTGCAGAATATAACCAAAAGTTTTCTTTACTTTTGGTTATATTCTGCAATATATATATATATTAGTATAAAGTTAAAGTAGTATATAAAGTATCTTATTATTAGTAGTATATTAGTATAAAGTAGTATAAAGTTTTCTAAAATCTTTTAACTTTAAGTGGACTGATCACATATATATAAAATCCATGTGGTACAATTATATGTGATCATTATTGCGAATCATAAGCACAGATATGTTGATTTCAAACTGCTTTGCCATCATGGTAAATAATAAGGAGATATTAAATATGGTCTTGTCCATTTGCTGGTAAAATTGGTGTGTTTCTTGATGATCAAGAATTTTCTTAGGAAAAGGTTTTTAAAATCTGATTTTTATTTTACAATTAGTGAACTGATATTATTGTCCAGTACACTTTCAGAGAATGAATATGGTCTGATCTGCTGTTGGCTGTGATAACACAGCATAAGCTGAGATAGAAGTATTATGGGAGTAAAAAACCAAACTGATAGTCTGCTAGGCTAAAAAAACTGACATATCAGGACCATGAAATCAGAAGTTTTTTTTATAAAACATAATCATGAGACAGCTTAAGCAGCTTCTGCAGATGATTGATTCAGTTTCGGCTTGGAGGCAGTACTATGACTGTTCACTTACTCATTACATTTACATCCCAGGATTGTGTTATGTACGTATGATTACGTGTAGTACTGATGAGATTTGAAATGATGTCATAATGCTTTGATTTGAATCTTGGACCAAGGCAAGGAGTTCAACAGAGTAATGAACTGCAGTGTATGATCTAATAGGTCATTGCACTTATCAGGACCTGTCAGCTGATTGAATAGCATCTGCAGAACTACATTGTGCCATCAGTGAAATTTAGACATAGTATTACAATGGTGTTGGTTGTTTTTGATGATTTATTTGCACTTGTAGTTTTAATTTTTAGATCTTTGAAGTTTGAGATAAGCCAAAACGTTTTGGCTAGTTGCAGTGCAATAAAAGTTTAGATTGGAATCCCTCTTCGGCAGCTGTATAGCTGTTTACAAAGCAGGATCTCAATCTTCAGGGTTTGAAGGCATGTAGATGAAGAACATATATACTTGCTGATATAAAGCTGCGTTTTCAACTCTACTAAATGTCTTTGGAATGTATTGGAACATATTAATATGATAGCAGTAGCTATTGTAAAATGCTCTATTTTTCTAGTTGAAAAACTAAAGCAAGCTGGTATGTAAAATATAGTTGGATAAAAATAATACAACAGAGAGATCTGCTGTATAAGGGTTAAGTTTTTGCTTAGATATTCATCGCTACAGATTAATGGATAGTATCTTTAGCTGATATTTGAAAATAATGTATCAGCAACAAAAGAAGAAAACTTTCTAATTTTAAGGTAATAATTATTAAATTTTGTCAGTGTTTATAAATTTTACTTCAAACTTTGATTGAAGTTTTTGCTTTGAGCTCAGATCTAATGATGATGATGATAAAAAACCATGAGCAGCGAGTCTAATTTATGCTGTAAATTTTAAAATATTAAATTCAGTTTTGGGATAATTAAAAAAATCATGGGTAAAAAATGTAAAAACTGGTATTCGTTATTCTCTGCACAAATTAGTTAACATAATGTTCTTATTATTGGAAATATCAGTAATCTCAAAAAGGAACTTTGTCATTCATCAAGACTGAAGTAAGATAGACTTAAGTAAGATTTAGACTGAAGTAAGATATATCATCTATCATTTACTGTAGAACTGTTAGCATTTTCTCATTTTTACTCATTGTTAGAAATGCTTATGAAAATCCCATATCTTATATGATGTATAACATACCTCAGTATATGAACGCTTTCATTATCATATTTCTGAAGTGAAGGCAGAACAAAGTCTCTCTAAGTTCTTTTAGAGAGTTTTAGTAAAGATCAGACCTGGTGATCCTCAACTATATCCAAGTAGGGACCTGACAAAGAAATGAGACAGAAAAGTGATAAGTAAATTTTCATTTATGCTTAGCATATATTTTACCCATTGCATTAGTATTTTCATATTAAATAATATTATAATAATTTTTGTAGCATTTTTGTATAAGAATGGATTAATTACTTTCCCTTTATTTCTTATTGGAAAAATTTGGTGTGCGTCTGGTTTGGTGTAAGTCCAAGGATCTGGAATAGATTAATGACATCTACTGAGGTACCACGCTATTTTAAAACTAATAATAAAAATAATTATTTGTTTAGAATGGTGAGTATATTCATTTGAGATGACCAGTAGCTGTACTTAGAGTAATTTGTTTTAAGGACTTGTATTAATGATGGCCTATTAGAAATCTTATTTTAACCCTTTCCAGATTAACGTCCCATATGCATTCCCTAAGAATGTCTCTTGCAGCCTGGCGTCCCATCCACATATCACTAGAGATTGAATTCAGGGGACGGGCGATGTGTATACGCATTTTAAACTGGAATATTTTTCTGAAGGCCACTAGATGGCATTCTGTGTCCTTTACTTTTGAAATGAACAAAGTTTTAGGTTCCTGACCTTGAGTTTGATATATTCTTCCTGACTTTGGTATTTTACTCATCGACTGTTATGAAGGTGGGTGGCGAAGTGTAAACAGAGGTGGGCTCTTTAAATTCGCATGTCTGATTTATATCCAATTTTTTTTTTATTCTATTTTTTCTTCTACTATGTATGGTCTTTTAGGGTTACTATGTGGAGCTCTGTTACATTTTGCATTGCTTTCAGATATATTTCAGGCCTTTCCCTTTTTATTTCGTAAAGCCTCATTTTCAGTCTATTATGGTGTGAAGGTGCTATTTATCAGAGGAAAACATAAATAAGAGTGATGATTCATTTTCTAAAGAGTTAGAAAGTGATACTTCTTCGTGCTTCGAGATTTACCACACTCAGTCTTCATTTTAAATTTTGTTACTTCTTACTGTAAATAGTCTTTATTGGATTGTTTTATTAATTTTAAACTTTATTGATGAATTTTATCAATTAAAACTTTGCAATAATTTGAATAGCGCTGCTGAAAATTATTTTAGAAGATAAGCAATATTTTAAATATATTTTCATGTAAAATAAAGAAAAAAAAAAGATTGTTAAATGTTAATTTAACATATATAAGAGCTCAAGTAATAATCTAAAATGGTACCCAAAATTACAATGCTAGAAGTGAAACTTTTTTTTTTTTTTTCTGATTTTTATAAAATTAGTCTTAGCGATGCAAAACCCCCGTCCTGTGCGATGACTGCCTTCAATTCCCTTCCATCCCGACACTTTAAACAAAGGTGCACTGTCGTGAAAGGGTTAAAGAATGCTGTAAATATAAATATTATTTAAAAATATTTATGATTCTGTTTTTGTTAAAATATTTATTGCCCCACATTTATTATGTTTTATGTAATTAGATATTGTAATTAGATTTAGTTTTTCTTTTCTAAGTTTAATTTTTTTAATTATTAAAAATCTTGTATAGGGGGATGTTGTTAGATTATTTCATGCAGAACAAGAAAAATTTCTAACAATGGACGACTACAAAAAGACACAATATGTATTTTTGAGATCTACTGGTCGAACTACTGCCACTGCAGCTACCAGCTCGAAAGCTTTATGGGAGGTTGAGGTAAGTTCTTCTTCTGGCTTAAAAAAAATGCATTCATCTCTGCATAAGCACCTGAACAGGAAAATATGTTGTGGATGATAATTTGCTCATCTGGATTCATGCCTCTCCTCAATCCATATTAAGTGGGAAAGCATCTGAGGAGTGGTGTGTAAATGCTTACTGAGCTAAATGCTTTTTAATTCCCAGAGAAAGCACATTTAATTTTTCGTGTTTTCCAGCTCAGAAAAACAATGGTGTTTTTCTTTCAAAATACTCTCCTGTACTTTGTAAGTCTGTCATATTGTTGATGACTTTTGTAATTGTTTATTATTATTGCTGGAGCTCCTGTTTCCTGTGTAATTATTGTTTGTGACACTTAATTTTTAATTTCCAACTGGCCAGCTTGGGAACAAGCACAAATCCAGCTTCTTGATGCTTTTCATCATCTTTACAAACAAAGCACTAACAATATGATGTATAGGCACTTCCTTTCTGAACATAGGTAATAAATAATACAGCAGATATATTCCCATATATACAGATGGTTCAAGAGAAACTAATCATATAAGAGCAAATTATATGATTGGCAGTCATATGGAAGGCATTTGTTTCATTATTTATGCTCACTCTTGACCTCTGAATTATCTGTTGTAAATTATGCTCTGTCTTTCATGTCTAAATTATGTAGTAAGAAATTCATAATTTATACAGACTAGTTTACTATCCTGAAAGGTCTAGAAACACTTTTTGTTACACAGAATCCAATAGTTGTTGATGTAATAAAACTGAATTTGAATTTCAGGATACATGGTTATCAGATTCTTTACTGCTGAGTTCCTGGACATGTGGAAATAAAAAGCAATGAGCTGGCAGACATCGCAGTTAAATTTGCTCTTAAAATGTTCGGTATGCTTGTTCCATTTAAAAACATCAGCATTGTCATCAGGCAGAATATCATTAGTAAATGGCAGCAACTGTGAGGCATTCAGTCTTGCAACAAATTGAGAAATGTAAATTGTAGAGTGGGAGATTGGGAAGTGAATGAAAGCCAGGGGGAGGAGGTCATGTTGATTTGGCTCAGAATTGGCCACTCTCGCATTACACATAATAAGAAGTCGAGTGAGCCCATATGCCCAAGATAATGCCTTTCTATCGGTGCATCGTTTTTAATAGAACGTGTGTATTTTAAATAGCTTCATTTAAATTATTTTAATTGTTCTGACATATCTTTTGACTGTTTAATCCGAAAAGAGGTTAATTTTAATCCATTTCAGTATTATTGAATTTGAATAATTTTTAGCTTATTTTGTTTTTATTTATTATATGTATTGAGATTTAATCTGGATTTATATTTCAATTATTTTCATCTGGTGTTGCCAGGAACCAGTTAAGGAATCACCAGGAATTATACCAACCAACCTCTAACTGGCTTTGGCTGCTTTATGACAAGATTAGGCAAAAATATGCAGCATGGAATATGATTAAGACTTTGATTGTTCATTCAATTTTTATGTATCTCTAATTTATTATCATCTAATTTATTACTATATGAACATGTAGAAAATAACAGGTTTTCAAATATCCATCTGGTTTCTCTAATGACATCATCTGATTTATTGCTGATTGAACTTGCAAGAAATATGATCACTTAATGCTTCCTTTTCAAGGTAACTGTAGAATTTATCTTCTTGCTTTTGATTTCAAGCAAATAAAGCATGAAATGCACTTTTTGAATCTTCATTTTTATTTGTAGGGACCTTGATATTAAATACTTGACTTTTGTCTTGTGATATTGCACTTTAATTTTTCATGCTTCACATATTTAGTAGATATTCAATACTTCTTCTCAGAAAATTTTACTTATTGCTTATTTTGTAATATTGAAATTTTTGACAACATGTAATTATGCTTTAAATTCAATTATGTCTAAATGAAGTGTGCAGCGATACTTTGATTTTAAGGAAGATTTCTTTCGTTCAATGCAGACTTTCTTTAACTGAATTCTTTCTTCATTTTGATGTGTTATGAATTATTATAACAACAAGTAATGCTATGATTAATTATAACAACAAGTAATGGCTTCTGAACTATTTAGCTTTGTGAGCTGTAGAAAAGAGCAGATTATTTATCAAGAAGGCTTTTTCTGCAACTGTAACTCACAAAAGTATTTGTAAGCAAAGCTGAAGTCATAAAGGAAAATATTTTGTCAAAGCTGAAAAGAGAAAAGAGTAGTGAGAAACTCCAAATTGTGTCATTGTGAAATATTGAAGCCTAGTATGCTTGATATTGTCTGTGTGAATTATTTGGAATATTGAAGAATATGTGAATTTGTATGGAATAATGCTTCATTCCAAATTTTCTTTTTGCAAGCTTGCAGTTCGCAAATATGCAATATTTAACTTTATTGTTAACGTAAAAACTGGCTGATTGTTTGTGCTCAATTATTCTAAGTGTGGAATTTAGGAACTACTCTTATACACGCCCTCAGTTGGCAACAAAGTTCATGCCAAAGATTTTTGACGAGAAACTCCATGGTGCCATATTACTATCTAAATTTTTTGTCTACATTTCAAACCTTAAGCCTAAAATGTCTGCAAAAATGCAGTTTTTGCGCATGCAAAAACCATGTTTTTAACACATAATTTATCCCCAAACTCTGAAACAAAAAATTAAAATAGCAAAAACGTAAAGTTTCTAACCAAAAATATTTGTCAAGAATCCACGTACACAAAGATCTGTTTTAACTTTGAAAAAAATTAGAGAATTGCACAATCTATGCAGCATAAGAATCTAGGAATTACCTACACCTCACTAAAATAAACTAACATAACAAGAGTAAATTTCAAATAATACCAGGTACACAGCATTCTGTTTTAACTCAAAAAAAAAAAACATCAACGAATTGCACAATAGCCATTGTGCACAAATCAACAAAATAAACTAAAATAAATTACAAACAATTCAAAAAACAACAATAACAACAAAAATTCATAGCAAAAAAACAATGAATATAACATTCTACAAAATAAGAACAACAATAAAATAAACTGCACTTACTGCTTCTTCAAACAGCAGAAATATCAATTTCAAACGTCAGCAGAACTCATCAATTTCCACCACTTTATCCTTCCTCTGTATCTTCTGAGACACAGAACATAAAGTCCAGCATATATTCGTGAATAAAATCCGCATAAACACACCCATAAACAAAAGACTCGTTAACAACTCTAACGTCGTACCTTTTAATACTAAATTTAACTTGCACACAATCCAAAATATGTGACTGAAATTTTGCCAACACATCTTTCATTTCAACATAAGCCATTTCAAAACGCCCAGCCAATAAAACCACTACAGCAAAATCAAGTTTCAATGTCAAAAGAGTTGCCATACAAACAACATCATGCCAAAAACCATTGCAGAACACACAGTCGCACCAAAAACCAGCGCAGAACCCATAAAGTCACATTTGGCAACTTGAGGACATATATAAGAGTAGTATCGAAATTTATTACGATACAAGTTTATATAATATGATGCTGAAAATTGTAAATAAATATATTTGAAAGTACATTTGGTTGTGCAGAAATTTTAATTGCTTATTCTTTAAAATCTTTTTAATATTTTGTTGATGTATTCATTATCAAATTTAAGAATATTGATCAGCTGCCTTTCATAAACTTTGCTTTAAAGTTTGTTTGCAAATTTTGATATTAAGAGGGATTAAGCAAACATATGAATCTTATTTTCTCTTGAATTTTTTTAGATATCTTCATAATGTTGTATAAGCCCAAATATAATGTACTGTTGTTTCCCTTAAATTGCCATTCTGAAAACGTTGTATATCGTATGTAACCAGCCTGCTATTAACAAAAAGTATTAAAGGTATCAATAATTCCAAAGGTTTATGCTAAAAGAAGATATTATTTAATTAATTTCAATGTATGATATTTAGTCCATTTAATTATCTTTCTTGCAGAGTGTATCTAGCTTAAATATGTGATTTTTTAGCGTATTTAGCTTAAATATGTGATGCCATTTTATATGCAAACCCTTGTAAAACATATCAGAATTGCAGTGCTTTCTTATATTGCTGTTGTTGCATCAGGTTCTTCTATTTACAATAAAATTAATGTAAAATTCCTTACCTGCTGCATCTTCAGTGTTCTCGATGCCAGGCTTCTAATAATCACGTTTTCAGTAAAAGTTTCTATTACAATTAACAGGCCATCTTGGCTTTTTCTTATTTATTCAAATAAAATACTATTATACACTATTTACAAGGTGGGTAATAATTATTTTAAGACAGTACATTTTAATTCTGAAGTTTCGTCTTTACGCTCTTCAGAGCGGTTCCAATCTAAACTCGTTCCCGGAACTTAATTACAGAAAAGGTAAAGGAAGAGATGCCTGCCATCTAGTTGCAAGAATGTGACAGCTGTGATGTATGTGTTTACCCATTAATTATTGCAAAGTTAATCTGATTTCTTATAGATAATGCATACTGTTCATTACAGGTAGTTCAACATGATCCATGCAGAGGTGGTGCTGGTCACTGGAATAGTTTGTTTCGGTTTAAACACCTGGCCACTGGTCATTATTTAGCAGCTGAAGTTGATAATGATGATACGATGGATGCCATGAGAAACAAGCTCAGAGGTTCAGCTAATAATAATGTATATTGTTTAGTGGCTGTTCCACATTCTACTGATATTGCTTCCATATTTGAATTAGATGCAACTACCCTATCTAGAGGAGATGATCTTGTACCTCAGTTAGTACTTTACTAAATTTTGAAATTATTGTCTAAATTTTAATAGGTATTTATTTCATTTGTAAATATGTAGTTTTCAATATGTTTTTGTTATGCATTATTTGCAGTTTTAATTATTTATTTAAATGATGTTATTTTCAAAAAAAAATTCAAAATTGAATTTGGTCTTTATGTAAATGTACATATTGGAAATTTAATTATTAATGTGATTCATTGATATTCTAATTTTTCACATTTTTAATTCCATCAGAATTATAGTTTTTAAATTTTATCACTTAAATTGACATGTGTGTTTTATTACTAAAACACTTAACAGAGGAATTAAAAAATGGCAACATTCTTTTTTGTGTGGCTAATAGCTAGCTGTATTTTGTTAAACATAATGAATAACATTCATTTGATCAATATAAATTTTTCTGCGTGTTCCATTTCTTTTGTTCCAGTTTTTTAAAACTTTTTTAAGTTTCTAATGTAAACAGCAGATAAAAGATATGCATTCCAATTAATTATTACAACTGAGCAGTTTTTGACATACAAAGTTTTTGTTAGTAAAATCATTTAGGCATAAGTTTTGTAACTTTTTCATTTGATTGCTAAAAAATGAGTTTTAGCAATTTTTAGCCCAAAAGGGCAATTTGCCCAGAAGTGCTATTAACTTAATTTTGGCATTGTGTGTTGATTCACTATAAACAGAGAATCACTTTTTAAATTGTTGCCACCAAATATTTGGGCCCTGTATTATATTTAAAGAAATTAAATAATGAAGAATCTGTGTAAATGTATATATGTTTCTCACATTGTGATAAAACAATGGTACCTAGAGCCATCAAATTTTAAATAACAAATGTGTCCACCCGAATATGGACATTTGGAAGCCCAAATCTGTTTTATTATCTATTTCATATTTTGTAAAGCATTTATGAATTTTTATTAAGAAACTTAACGATGTCAAAGATGAGCAATGGCAACACTGTATGGGGGGTTTATCTGCAGCACGTGAAATTGTGTATTTATGTTCTTTTAAATATTTGGTGATATTGCTGTTGAATTGAATTTCATGGTTTAAGTGCAAAGAACATGCTATTTAATAAATAAAGGTAACACACAAAGCATTAAAAAAACACCCTTTTGGGCATAATATACAATCTAAAAGCTTTCCTTTTTTATATATACATGTATATATATGTTGTATGATCTTAAATTCATTTAGTGCAAAATCAAGTTATTCTACTACTTGCGCAATTGCTGCAAAGTAAGTTAATAATAATTTATTTACTAAATAATATTGATTATATTATCTCCTAAGATTAATTATAGTAGAATTATCTGAAAAGAGTGAATCCATACTTAGTAAGTTCTATTTCGAAAGATATTTTTAAGTAACTTGAATGTAAATTGTTAAAATGTTTAACGGGGACTGGAATTAAGTCATGAATAACAAAATTTCAATTGTAAAAGGAATTAAAAGCAAAAATTTAATTAAATGCAAGTAATCATTGTCATTGATCGGAAATTAGTTGACTTTTCAAGGGGAACAAACCAACTCCCGTTCAATGAACAATAATTAAGAAATAAATATGAAGGTGTTTCGTCCTTTACTCGAGCAATAAGGCGATGCTAAATTGGCAATTCAAGTAATTGCTGTCAACCATTTTTAAAAGTTTTTTCCTTAGAGTGAAATTTATTGACAATAAGAGATGTGGCATCACAATGCACGTACAAGAATTTTGCTGTGGTTTTTTGTAACCTTGATCTTCAGTAAGCCAATTTAGGTTTTCTAGTAAGGACTTTCTTGTAAGTCAATTCATAAGTGCTGTTTCACTTTTTTCTTGTCTCACTCCCCCTTTTTTTTTTTTTTTTTTTTTTTTTGTGTGTGTGTGTGTGTGTGTATGTGATATGAATAGTTTTGTTGTGCATTTCCAAGTTCAATGATTATCCAAAATATGGACAGTTTTTAGATCAGTCTGCAAATCTTTCATTTGATGATTTGTGAATTTTGGGCAATTTTTTAACAAATTTTAGAATGTTATTATGATATTGTCGGGTAGATGAAGGGATTCTACAAATGAACAGGCAAGTACTGAAGTCTTTTTTATTAACTCGAATTGAACGACATTCCAAACTGGAAATGCTGTGGAAGAATAAGAAGAAAATTTACATAAATAAGATAACATTAACAAGAAATTTGCATAAAAACCAATCATCAGGCATCTCGTGGTTGATGTGTTTCGTACACGGGACCTTCAGGTTTTGAGTCCTGCGTCTTCTCCGCTAAGCTATGAGGAGCTCGGTCTAAAAGAGCAATTTTCGTTACATTTCCCCTTTCTTAGGAAGAAGCAGCATCCTGCTGCGATCTGGTCTGACTTCTTGTAACAGATCTCCTGGAAATATTAGGCTTTCTTTCATCGTCTAGTTTTACTTTTGGGTCAAGATAGGGCTTCAATCTCAATACGTGAACGATGTCTTTTGAATTCCGTCATTTCTTATTTTGTTCCATACTTTGTTCATCACGTCAGAGAGCTGTTGTGTTATTAAGGTCCAAAGTAACGTCTTAGGAGCTTTTCGGATAACCCAACCTTTTGTACTGGAGTGAAGACCCAGACAAAGTCTCTGATGTTGTAACTGACAGGTCGATGCCTCTCGTTGTATCGGCGCTTGTCTGTGGTTTGCGCTTTAAGAATATGGAATTTTGCAAGTTGTCTAGCTTCTTCAGCTCTAGTGATCAGATGTTGCGCATAACTATCTTCGATACTGTATGGGAAAATTACGTCGAGAGGAGTCTGGATATGTCTGCCATAAATGAGAAAGAATGGGCTGAATCCTGTTGTGTCTTGTTTGGCTGAATTATAGGCATATGTTACAAATGGTAGAATAATATCCCAATTTTTATGTTCAACGTCTACTTACATGGACAACATATCTGCTAGTGTCTTATTGAACCTTTCAGTTAAGCCATTGGTCTGAGGGTGGTAAGCAATCGTCAGTAGATGAGACATCTTGCATAGATGAGGTACTTCTTTAACAACGTTGGATAGGAAGTTGTGTCCTCAGTCACTTATCATTTCTTTGAGGGCACCATGCTTCAGTATAATTTCTTCAACTATAAACTTGGCAATTCCGGCGCCCTCAGCTGTCGGTATTGTCTTTGTGACTGTAAATCTGGTAAGGTAATCTGTGCAAACTATAATCCACCGGTTTCCATTTTGAGTAACAGGAAAGCATCCAAGTAGATCTATTCCAATTTTGGTAAACGCTGTGTCAGGGGGTTTCATCGGATGAAGCTGTCCTCGTGGACGTTGCAGCGGCGATTTCCGTCTTTGACATTCTCGGCAGTGTGATACATACTGCCTTGTGCTTCCATATAGCCCTGGCCAATGGTACTTCCTCCTTATTCGGTCGTACGTTTTGGCAAATCCAAGATGGCCAGCGGTTGGAGCATCATGAAGCAGGATTCGTAGCAGTCCTTACAAGTGCTTATAAGTCCTTATATTTGAAAATAAAACATAAAGGCCTTTATAGGTGCTTACTTTTTCTTTAAAGCCCTTTTTTTTTTTTTTTTTTGTGCTTATTTTTTATTTTTTGCTTTTAGTGCTTTTTTTTTAATGAACGTGCATTTTTTCCCCCCGTACCAAAGCAGAAACTAAATAAACAACTTTTCTTCCTTATATGCAACGTCAGATGGTGAATCATACTCCCGGAAATTGCTTTTCCCCCCTTTCTGTGCATTAACGTAACCTATGGTGTGCACCAAAGAATTTGTAAGGGAGTCCCGTACAAATCCCTTGGGTACAGACAGGTTCACGTCGTTCTATTGGTCAAAGAATTGCGAAAACAGTAGAAAATTCCGGTGCATTCGGTATTCTTTTCCTCCCACCCAAATACTACACACATTTGAATTTCTATCAAGATTTTAATAATTTGCATTCTCGTTCCATGTGGTCAGTTCATATTCGTGTTTATTATGATCGTTATGCTTATATTATGAGCATATGTATGAATATTTATAATAATGTAGTTGCAGTAACTGCTGAAGTATAGGTAAACTTTCAAAAATGGGTGTGTTTTTACACAGATTAGCTTTCTAAGGAATAATATTCGGAATGGCTTAAATGAAAGGAAAATAATTGAATAGTCAAAAAAAATTTCCCCCCCCCCCAATACATTATACAGTACAGAGGTTGGGAGGTTCTCCACTTTCTCAGCAAAATCTCTAATATTGAAGCAGCGGACTTTTTTTTTTTTTTTTTTTGTCACTGTCCAATCTGGATTGGGAATAGGGCTATAAGTTTTTGCAGTCTACCCAACCCAAGCAAAGATTGATTCTATTCTGGAAATTTAACACAGTCTGTTGAAAATTAGAATCACAAACACCCCAGATTAGTAAGTCCTTTTCTTTTCTTTTATTTAGTTCTTTATTCTTCGAATACCGGCAGCTGTTGATTCCGATTGTGTAATATCACATATGGAAGAATTATGTGGCATGTATTGCGCAATAACGTTTGCGGTATTTTGCAGAGATAATTAACTTTGATGTTCAGTTTGAGATTTGTTTATGAACACTTAAAAGAGTTTTACCGTGCTTTCTAAGCAGTATATTTCTAAGTTTTGTTGGCCTATTCTTATATGATGCACATATCGAAAGGTCAAAATCATTTACTTAGCCGAGAAATCTAAAGAACGGCTACAATCTCACCCACTCCTCTTTTTCCAGTTACTATCCGGAATATTCGGCAATTTCCAAGTATGTGGGTTAGTTAAGCTTTTACTGTTAATGGATGACTGCACGAAGTAATTTCCCGTCTTCTGATTTCAGAAATGTGCCTCTTTTTTACTTAAATTACTTTGCTTGGAATGTATGTTAAGGGAAAACTGTTATGCAGTGAAATTTTAGAAAATGTTCAGAATTTTGATTCAAGTTAAATTTTTTAAATATTAATATGAGTGGAAAAATAAATTGTATTTATCATTAGGTGCCAAACGAATACAATTAATATGGCTTA